GTTTTTTTTAGCCATAACCTTGCTGTCCAAACACAAACACTAAGGCCATTCCCACTTACTGGGAGAGGGATGAGAACTCACCCTGAGGGCCTTGGGGTCCTGTGAGAAGTCCACAGGGTCGCATCGCCAGGTGTACCCAGTAAGCCACCCTGCCATCAGGAACTGCAACAAGAGCATCATCAAGGTGAGACCCAACACACCCACTGCACTTCCCAAAACTTGTACAGAAGGGCAAGGAACAGCCTGCAAAAGGGCTCCCCATCACCCACGGCCTGCATGGACTGCTTTATATATGCCACACAGAGCCTACTGCCAAGAACTCACCTCATAGACTATGTAAAGTGAGAGTCCCACCAGAAAGAAGTTGTATAGCACCATGAACTTCTTCAGGTTTAAAGGCTTCCTGTTGGCCATTAGCCGGGGACCCAAGGATAGTACAAAGTAGACATATGCCAGAAGGATGCCCATCACAAGGAACGGGGACTGCATCAGCGGATAATCAGCAATGCGGGGGTCTGCAGAGAGAGCCACAGTGCAGGGCAGTTAGCATCCTCACCCCAATCTGCTGCCAGCAATGCTACTGCCAGAGCAGAGGCAAGGACATGGCAATCCTGTTCTAAGACAGGAGTGCAGGTAGGGGGCCAGTCTAGGAACAGAGGCTGCTGAAGGCAGCCAAACTCAGTAAGGTACAGCTGGAAGCCATGCTGCAGGGCAGCCTGGAGACCCTCTGCCCAGGAGGGCAGAAGTGCCCCAAAAGAACCTGCACAGGCAAGACAACCTCATAACAGGCAGCCCAACAAAACCCAGAGCTGCATCTACATCAGGGCAAAGGCAGGATGCAGCTAGACCCAGACCACTTCAGGGGTGACAGACCACCCCCCTGTGCCTGTGGCAGTAAGGCATGCAGTGCCACCTGCCCCACAGCTGGGCAGGGCCAAACACTCACCTGCTTTCTTCATGAAGTCCTGATACATGGTCACAATCCCCTCCATGGTGATGCCAGTATCTCTGTGGAGAAGAAGGGCAGGTCAGGCAGCTGTTTTCCCCCCAGGAGGGCAACCTGCAGAGCACAGCCCTGCAGATCAGCAAGTTTCAACATAGCTCTCAGCTGATCACACACCAGTATCCACAATTCCAGTTGAGCCATATGCTCCCCACTTCTCCTCACTGAGCCTGGCCCCATCTCCCCAGCTCTGCTGGGAACCCCACCATCTATCACCAGCAGTCCTTCCAAGGCAGGATCCTAACATTTCAAGCCAGCTAGGAAAGCTTGCAACCTCAGTGCTGTATCTCCAGCCCCTTAGTCTTGATCCTGCTGTACAGCCTTCAACATTATCACCCAGAATCACCATGATATTGCCACCAACCTTGCCACCCATACCACCCAGGACATTGGTCTGCCTGACCCTAGTGCAAGGTCTCCGAGGGAGATTCAGAGCTGGCCCACACTGTCCACAGAGCAGTGCCTTTATGATCAGCTTTAGGCTCCTGCCCACCAATCCCCACCAGAGAATTGACATAGCATGACTGGCAGACCCACTGCATGAGGAATGAAAGCCATCAGTTGAGAAACAAACACCAGTTTCTGGTCTCCAAGTTCCTTGTTTCACATCCTGGCACAAAACCCTCCTGACAAGAGCTACCACCCCATAAGCCAGCACATCAGAGGCTAGGTGCACCCTACTTGGCAATGACATTTCCACTACCCTTCCAAACAGGTGACAGTATCCCCAGTTAGGGAAGAAAGCCACAGGGAGAAGGACTGGCACTCCCCACACTCACTCAGCCTCACTATAAGCACACACCAGACAGCAATCTAGGAGGATGCTCTCCAGAAGAGCAGGAAGGGCCCAGGATCTTGCAGCTGCAGGCAAGTTTGAAACAACCTCACTGTCGTGGTTTAACCCGGCTGGCAACTCAGCACCTACGCCGAGCAGGAGAAGCTCAAAAAGTCCTTGAGTAGTCTGAGCACTACTTGGCAACAGCTGAAAACATCAGTGTGTTATCAACATTATTCTGGTACTAAAACCAAAACACAGCACTATGCTAGCTACTGTGAAGAAAATTAACTCTATCCCAGCCGAAACCAGGACACTCACCCAGCTCCCTGTGCTTCCCAACCTCTCCCCAGCCTACAGGACACCAGAGCAGCAGGAAAGGAGGCAGAACACGGGCCCAGCCTCACCCAACTCACCCACCTGCAAGGGAAGCATTCCCACAGCTGCTACCAGACACTCCCCACCTACCCTTTTCTCCAGGAAAGTGCACAGGAATCACTGCCCATGCACAGGCCTGGGGAAATGGGTCTCCAGCCCAGTCTCCCCAGGAAGTTTATTGCTGCCACCACCAGCAAGCACGCAGCTTCTCCCAGACCAGCAGCCATGAGGCTGAAGCCAGAGTAACCCTCTTGCCAGTAAGGTCCCAGCTGGGAGTATCTAGCAGCCACTGTCACCTCGAGCCCTCACCAGCCAGCACCAGCACTGCTCCTTCAACTTTGCTGCAAGAGGAAGAGCTCAAATTGCTCTTTGCTGTAGCTGGAACCCAGGCAGCACAGCAGCAGACACCACCTATGCAGTGCTACAGAGCACCTGCATGGCAGGCCTCACCAGCAGCAACCTTCACAGGGGCCTGGCACACACTGTCCTGGCTCATCATTCCCTGCAAGTCACTTTAGTGCAGCAACAGTGGTGGTTCTGTGCCTGCCTAGTCACACCCTGTGTGCTCCTCCAAACTGGGGAATGCCACCCAACCTCTCTACAACAGCAAGTGGGGTGGAACAGGTCTCCCCCTTCACTCCCACCCCCCAAAGTACCCATTCCCCCAAGCAAGGCTCCAGAGCAGCCTGCACAGCCACATGCCCCAGGGACAGAGGCTGAGAAGTTTCACTGTGCTTCAGAAAGCGCAGAAGGTGGTTCCTCATGCCACCTTGGAGGCAGCTGCAGCAGCAGGGCAAAGCCCACTCAGGACCAATCCCCACACCTCAGGGGCACCAGCAGCAAAACAGACACTCACCTTCCCACCTCAAGGTTTCAAGGGGTTTAATAGCAAGTAATACTCACTTTTAGTATCACTGTGATACAAGTAATATTTAAGGTCATGGGCACTGCCAAGATTATCCACTCTCCACATGCAGCAGAGGCCAGAAAAGCATAGCAGGAACTATAGCATCCTTGAGAGCCACTCAAGGCTCCAGCTGTGGGAAACACAGTAAATACAAGTCCTGAAAGCTGCTGAGCTTTACGTTGCTTTAATGGCTAAGAGCAAGCTCCAAACTTGTCTGTCTAGTTTCAGCTTTCAGCCACTACATCCAGCTACACCTTTATTTGCTAGATTGAGGAGCCCTCAAGAGTTAGTTCCCAGTAAAGGTACCTGACTATTCAAACTCTGTTTATCTTATCAAGCTGAATGAGTCAGCCTTACTACAGGTCCAGGGCAGAGACAAAACTCCTGCAGAACACTCACCTATTTTGGGCAGGCTAGGATGAGAAGATTCTATCAGGAGCTCAGAGCCACATCTCACACTGAAGGGAAACATTTGAGCTCAGTCACTACAGATTAGTTCGCTGACCCTGGTGCCAGCAAGCACCACTGGCCAACTAGGACCCCAGCTCAAAACAATTTGGGGTCCCAGGACACTGGGGACTTGGGTGAGAGCACTGCAGTTTTGGCCTGACAGACCTGCTAAAGGCTGCACAGAGCAGACAAGGGTCATCCTGGCAGCTGCCCTGAACCCAGACAGCTATCCACCCAAGCAGTGGGAGAAGCCCACTTCAAGCCAGCACAAGCACACAAGTCCCCACCAGCATAAACAACATTAAGTCCCTGAAGCACCTCCAGCACTCCTACAGCCATACATGCCACAGGGAGAGGCAAGGCCTGTCCTGAACATGGGCTCTGGACAAGTACCAGGTCTCCTACCAGGGCAGAAATAGCAGGATTATGCCACAGGACCTTATGAAGAGGACCTGTGCGTTTTCCACAGCTTCCTTAAGCAGAATAACATCCTGCTGCATTCAGCTAACAGAGCAACCACATCTCCAGGGAACCCCTGAGGTCTTTGGGTCTTCGCAAGACTTGGCATTCATGCTGGCATGCTACATGGTCCTGCATTAGACAGAAGCTGAAGCATGCCTCCTCTGTCTCCCAGGGTGCAGCCACTGGCCATGGGAATTGAGCTGCAAAGGGAGAGTTGTAGAGCAGGCCCAAGCATTACCTTCACTAAGCAGGGGGATGCAAGGTACACTGGCCTGCTTGAGCCATGATGGCTCCATGCCAGCCTTTCTGCTGCAGGCAGGGGTTTTCCAGCACAGAGCAGCAAGTCTCTGGGAAGCTGAACTCACTCCTGACATTTCCTCTGTGCACAACACCAGCACATGGTGTCCCTCTGCACTTTGAGAGATTCACCACCCAGGCAGGCATCTGCTCTTACTGCCCTCCATGCTACACTGCACATCACACACTGCAGGCATTTACAGCTCAGTAGTTGGTACCTGTCTGCACAGGAGAGACACTCTTCTTTGACTCCTCCTGGATCCTGATCCTCTTGGGCAAGGAACTGGGAAGAGATGGGGAACCCAAAGCTGAGCCTTGAACAGCTGAAGAGAAGTCAAGCAAACAGGTCCGAGCATCCCAAAGCACCAGGAACCCCTGGGGCCCAAACACACCCTGTACAATACCTAGAGACCTTGCAACACACCTCACCAACAGGGTGTCACTTCCCCACCTCAGTGAGAAAGTTCCCACTATTCACAAGCCAGCGTACCAGGCCACATTCTGCCACAGTAATCAACATCAAGGATTAGATACTTGCTTACGCCAAGCAATGTGTAGACTGCCTATTTCCAACAAGCTATACAACTAATTAGTGCAACTTCAGCAAGAACAGCAAGGCCCTTTATAACCAGCCCCAGCAGCTCAAGAGCAGTCAGACCACAGCATTGTGAACCACGACACTGACAGAGACCAGAGCTCACCCCATTTAGTTTTGTTAACACAGGGCGCATCTCTGCCCACACAGCAGCCATCTGCAAGCAACAGACTCAGCCCCAGCCATCCAACACGCAACACTCCTACCCCATCTGCATCCAAGTCAGGAATCAGTCCTGTAATAAGTGAAAAAGCAAGCCACCCTAATCTCCCCACTAGTTTAATTACAGGCAACACCAACAGTCTGGTAGGTGGCCATGGAGCTGTCAACCCAGGGAGAGCTGGCACAGGGCCCTTGATGAACTGGCTACAGCAGGCCTGGCCCATGTGGGGCTCCCAAGGGAGTAGCAATCCTCAAAGGTCAGGAGATAAACAGTTGGCCAGAAATGAAGCCAACCCTTATCCCTGACCTACAAGATGGCAGCGAGGCTTTCTGCCTGGTGAAGCTCTGAGCTCCACAGCCTCTTGGGAAGAGGCATCTTCCTCCCCCACCTCTTCACCAAAGCACCTGCCCAGCTTCCTGAAGCTCCAGAAAGTCACAAGGGGGTTCAACAAAGCCTGCACACAGCTCCATGCACCCAGGGAGCATGTTTCCCAGAAGAGCCATGGAGACCTGTGGTTCAGAAGCATCTGCCAGCAGCAGCTGTCACTGTGGAAGAATGGGACTGACCAACCCAGGGTCTGGTGGCCCCAGACTGAGCTTCATACAGCAAACTGAGACTGGCACCTCAAACCATCACCAAGAGCTGTCAGTCACAGCTTTGGGAGAAGCTTTCCCAAGCTTATGCACAAGTGAATCCAGCAAGACAAGGAGCACAAACCCATGTCTGCCCTGAAGAACACATGAGCAGCAAGGCAGAGGCAAGGGGGAGAAGGAGCCTGGCCAGCCCTGAACAGCAGCAGCAAGCACCCTGTTCTTTATGAACTCTGCAGTGGGATCGCTCCAACACTGAAGTTTGCCATGAAGCAGAGAAAACTATCTCCTCCTTCCGCTGCTCTGTGGCCAGGCAAAAGGGGGTCCTGTAACCAGCCAGTGCACACTCACTTCACAGACAGCATCTGAGGACACCAGCTCAAGCAGATGCAGAGACCACTCAACAGGAGAGCTGTATTCAAGTACACCTGCATTACCAGTAACAGTTTCAGCCATCTCACTGAAGACTCAGTTAAGGCACTGTTGTCCACATGCTACTGAAGTCATATTTTTCCCTCAAGAGAAAAATCACAGCCTGAAGAGATGCCTGTACACCAGCCTACAGGGTACACAAGACCAGTCTGGCAGCAGAACATGAGCCACTGTATTTCAAGTGTGGAAAGCCATACCAGCAGATTAGGTCAGAGCAGGAAATTAGAGCTCTCCTAGCCTGGCATCTTGGCTCTGAGGTCTCAGGACAGACTCTGACCAGAGTTTGAGGACAATTAGTTCCAGAACTCTCAGCTCACAACATAACTACAAAGTCTACAAGGAAACATCATGCTAACACCACCAGATAAGTTTTCCTACTTGAATCACATCTATTGGTCACTTCCTGTGGCTCAGCTACTTCATGCTGAGCATCAAAGGACATGGCTAACAGCCTGGTATCATACGCTCTGTATCAGCATACTTTGAAGTCAGTATAGGAAGACTGCTCACAGAGAAGGGATGCAAACTCTCAAACCCTTGATACGCAACAGCTCTTGCAAGAGCTGCCATTGCAGCTGGTGTGGGAGTTACACTGGCTGGGTGCTGCTCCTGGCACACTGGCTCCAAGCAGCAGGAAGTGACCTGTCTGAAGTTGAGGAGTTTCCCCATCTTCCCCGAGTGTGTGTTAATACCTTACCACTATCTCACACAGCGGCTGTGAAACCCTGAGGCCTTTGGAGAGCATCCTATAAGCAGAGATTAAGCTCTCCCCTTCTCATGCTCGCTGGAAGCAGGGAGAGCAAGAGGAGACTCCCAGATTAGCAGGCAAGCTCTGCAGAGGCTGGGCAGTCAGCCTGTTACTCCACAAGCTTTCAGGGGAAGGAACAAGCCCATTGCAATAGGGTACTGGTAACCTTGTACAAAAAACCAAGGCAGGTCATCAGACTTCAAGGTCCCACAAGAGCATACATTGCAGTAAAAGGTCTATATGCACAGCACACAGTGTTTTTTTCACGGACAAGCTGATCAGGTAAGCTGCTAGAGTAGGCTTACTCCTTATCAAATTCAACAATGGGTGTTGCATATTCTGCAGAGGCTGGGCAGTCAGCCTGTTACTCCACAAGCTTTCAGGGGAAGGAACAAGCCCATTGCAATAGGGTACTGGTAACCTTGTACAAAAAAACCAAGGCAGGTCATCAGACTTCAAGGTCCCACAAGAGCATACATTGCAGTAAAAGGTCTATATGCACAGCACACAGTGTTTTTTTCACGGACAAGCTGATCAGGTAAGCTGCTAGAGTAGGCTTACTCCTTATCACATTCAACACTGGTGGTTGCATATTCAGGGCACTGGTACCAGTACAGATGAGAGCAGTCAGGAAAAAAGCAGGGACAAGGCAAGATTAGGCAGAAAGTCTGACATAGCAAGGAACAAAGAAGTGAAAGAAGAAAAGAAACAGAGGGTGAGATACCTTATTTTGTACTTTCTGGAGGTACTTCCTTTCCAAGCAAACCACACTGAGCTGTGCCCACTCCCTCATGCCAGCACCAGGTGAGGGGGGAAGGAGGTAGAGATGGCTGGGCTCCCTCTCCAAAGTGATAGCACCCAGCAGCTCCCCAGGGTGCACCTGAGAGCACTCAGGAAGGACAGAACTAGTCAGGCAACACAGGAGGACAGGCAGGGTTAGACCAAGCAGGGCTGGCTCCTGACAGTTGCTCCTAGATATAGGTCAAGCTTTCCAAAGCCCTCTAGCAGAGGAACACAGGGCACCCCTACCTGGAGGTGGGGCAGGCAGTACTAGAGCATTCGTCTCAGTGGTTTTAATCATTATGCAAGTGCCTCACTACAAGGCTTCACCTCTGTTCCCACAGCAGTGTTTGTAGTCATTACACAGTAATGATTACTGTGCTCTGTCCCATACAGAGCTGTACATTAATTGACTGGCACACCAAGACAAACATTAGAAGACGACAAAGCAAGATGCAGACAAGAAAGACTCCTGAAATCCCTCCACCAGCTGTCTGGGCCAGTCAAGAAGCCTAAGTGTGAACCCAGAGCCACTTCTCATTGAGACAAGGGGTCACTGCCTGGAACTCTCCATTGCATCTGCTTTGGACCCCCCCTACCACCTGTACTAAGAAGGCAGTGCATTCACACAACCACATTCTAACAAGAAAAGGGATATTGGTTATTCATTGACAATACTAGAGATGCCAGAGACTCCAGCAGCACAGTAGAAGCACCACAGATCCCAACAGGCCTGAGGCTTAATAGGCACCACCTATAACAGGGTTCACAGCCCGCCTGTCCCCCCCCCCCCCAAAAAAAATAGAAGTATTAGGCCTGGTTATCTCCACACAAGTGTAGATGGACCACTCAAAGCCAGGGCTGTTGCTCATACTGCTGGTCCTGTACAGACAGGGAAAGCCTCTTAGGGTTAAACAGAAGCAGCATGAGACATAACTCTGTATGTATACAGATCAAATCCATTAACAAACCATGAGAGCAAGCTAGCTGATCTGATCCACAGGGTAAGGGCACTCCTTGCAGGAAGGCCACAGAACTTGCTGCCAGTGACAGCTTACCACCCTGATCCATCCCACACAGAAGAATCAACCAGAAATTAAATACCCTGTGAGACACCAAGGGAAATCAAGAACCACCAGACCCAGTTACCACCTTCACCAGCCCCAAGCCACCGAAGTCTCAGTTAGCATCAAGACACAGGCCTGCTGGTGGAGAGTTGGCTGTGGCAGCTGCAACCTGTCATCCCTGAGCAACAGCAGCCCCACAACTCCTGCAGGGACGAGTCCTGGCTTCTGGGGACCAGCTCCTCCCTGCAGGAGGCCAGGCTGCCTCACCTGTTTGACTGGCAAGAACCAGACTTTCCAGCCCAAGTACTCCCACCATCTAACAGCTAGTAGGGCACATACTAGCACAAATCTAATATGAAAATACATAAACACAAAAGATATCTCAGGCCATCACAGGCACTGCTCCCAAGATCTCCTGTAAGCTTCTTCCTAAAGGAAGGATCTCAGCCTCAGCATCGCCTGTGCTGTAACCCCAGCAGAAAAGGGAAAGTGTTCACCTGCAACCTTCAAGGACAGTGCCAAGCCAAGCATGCAGCAATGCACCTGCTTCTGACACCAGCTTCAGACCTTCCTAGGGATGCAAAGCTTTTCTCCACCAGGAGGGAAAGGAGATGCTATGCCCCTTGAATAAACTCAACTTATTTTCACCTCCAAAGCATGGTGCGAGACACCTCTAGGTCAGAGTGAGTTTTTACTCTTCTAGCCTCAGTTTTAAAAGGACTTTCTCTCATATTATGTTTCTGCCCTAAGGACCACATAATCCCCCCCTATCTAACACTTTCAGGAAGCAGAGGTGAGAATACAATGCAGGGCAGGACTGCAGTGGCCCACGCTGTGTGGGTGGCATGGCTTAATCCCCACAGCGAGATGCAGCAAGAAGATGCTACTTTTCACAGGAACAAGCTGTCAGCAGCAACTCACACCCATGAACTAGAGGGGCTTCCTAGGAAAGAGATAAGATACAGCCACCTCAGTCAAGCCCCAAGGGCTCAGCCAACTGTCT